CCTGGTTACAAATGCGCATCGAAGCGGGATGCAACACCTTGAATCTTAACAACCATGGCGTGTCTTTCGATCGTACGAACGATCTATGGATCGTTTCGCGAAGAAACGTTCGCACGAGTTATCGAGAAGGAAAACTGTTCAACCGTGTTTTTTTCAAACCGCGATCCATTGTGCTTAGAAAGTGATCCGGTGAAAAGGTGAAAATGTATATGAAAGGTCTCGCTTCGCTTGGCGCAAGAAAACTTGACGGACAAAATTCGAGTTATAGAGAGGACTTTCGGTTGTCACGATTGATTGGCGTGAAACGCAGCACACGCAGCCGCGTTTCAATCGGCCGGCTAAATTAACCAGATAACTCTGGTGTAACGGCCATCCCTCTCTATCTCTTTCTCTTTTCTATCTGCTCTTTCCTTGATCTAGGCTCGCCTAGATAGTGATAGGATCATAATCGATATGCGTTTATAAATTCAAATCAAAATTCGAAGAGCATTATGGGAGAGAAATTGTTAAATTTGTTCTTCGTATCTGTAAAGTATCCTTGTGTATGTAGGCTAGTTTCGAATCTTGGAATAAATTCTTACCAACTGTGTTAATAATAATGTTTATAATTAATAGTTTAGTTATTAAAAATGTTAGAGCATACTATTTTATGAGTTATCAAGTTAAATCATATGTGAAAAGTATTACAGCAATTACCAGAATTTCTCTCTCGAATTCCAATCGAGATATTTAGAAAGAATTCGAATCTCGTATGTCGATGTTCAAATTTACTCGCGATACGTTCAAACCCGTCGCTACTCTCAACAGAACGAATCCGTGTGCTTTCTTGACCCAGAAATAAGCAAAAAGGAGTATACTAAATGTGCACCTGAGAAGCGTGTTACACTTTAGACCGTATATACACGGTATGTGGAAAGTTACGTGTAAGAAATGAAGAAAAATTACAGGATAATAAAACGAGGCAAGAAAAACGAGATGATTTTACGCCAGAGAAATATAGAAGAACTTCTTATTCTCGTTACGCAGCCTTCAATTAGCGAAAACTTATCGAATCTAAATGAACCGAGGCAAATTATATCGAGATAATAATGTATGAGGAATTCTGTTCTGGATATATATCTAATTTCCCTTCCACTTATCTATTAACTTAATCTTCGATAGAACGTCGTGTATACGAGCCATTTTATGAATTCTGGAAGATCATCGCTTTCGTGAATAGTGAATATTTTATTTCATCGTGAACAATATATATATATATATATAAAGTCATTTCGAGAGATTTCAAAATCTTAAAATTCTCTTTCAGAGAATTTAAATAATTTTGTTTGATGCTTGGTTGATGCTTGAGATATTGCGAAAGATCATTCTGCTTGGAATTTTGCTCAATAGTATTGGGAAATTTGAATCGTATAAATGGATACAAAAACCGTTTCTAATTCCACATTTCACTTGCAATATTGAGGCTAATCATTATTGAAAAGTTAAACATTCCTTGTGCAGCAATAGGAAGGCATATAAGTATATAACTAGATATTATATGTAAAAAAGAAATTCTACGTCTATATAAATGCAAATATCGACAAAGAGAGTTTAGTTTCTTGTGAAATAGAAAATCTGTCTCTCGCATGTTTTCATGGAAAACGACCACTTTTTGTTGTCACAGTTGATAAATCTACTCAAACTATTCAATCATTACAGCGTGAAAATATTTTTTCCTTTAAAACAAAAATAATTCTTTTTTCTTAAATTTCTAAATCATCAGAAAATTTCGATTCGACCTGAAAAATTTAAGAAAGAAAGAAGATTTTCGTCGAAAGGAATTGACCAATCTTTCAATATCTTTCCCAATCTTTTCTTTCGAAAACAAAGAAGACAAAGATTTCGAGCTCGTCCTCGCGCTCGAACACAACCACCAACTATACCGCAAATTAACATTTTTCCGCGGCGGGTGCAATGGACCGTCTCGGCTACACCTTGCCAAGTGGATCGCGTGTTGCACGTCATTAAATGCAACTCCACGATCCACCGTAAAAACGTAACGTCGGTTGATGGCCGGTGAACCAGTGAAACTCTACTCTCCACGGATAACCATTATCGTTTTATACAAGAATTGAATCCGTGGAAGAAAATGAAGCGAGGGTTTTCGGTGTCGCGCTTGCTCGTCGGATATTAACGTCGGATAAGGAACGGTCGGAAACTATGTTGGCTTGTGCAGTTGTCGGCTAAGAAAGGATAAAGAAACGTGGAAGGGTATCGTCCAGTCCGACGAGTGACACGAGTTTCCTGGTTGAAAACATGGAAAACCGAATAGTCCAGCGATTGTTTAACTTTCGGACATTTTTGGATCGGCTTTAGGGATCCCTAGACGAATTTTTTTCTCCCTAGACGAAAGTTAGGTAAGAATAGTGGAAAGGAATGGATAAAGAAACGAGTTTCCTGATTGGGAAAATCGAATGCTTTGTGCTCCGGCGATTGTTTAAGTTTCGAATATTTCGGGGGCATGATCGACTTTAGGGATCCCTAGACGAATCTTTTCTTAAAATGTTCAAATTAAAAAAGAAATATTGAATAGTTTCTTGAAATATTTTTTACATACATAAGTAGAAGAAGAGTAAGTATAAGAAGAATAGAGTATAAGAGTAGAGAAGAATAAGTATAAGAAATAGAGAATCCAATTCCTAAAAAATTATGATTTAATCTATGTAATATATCATTATAATAACATAGGTATATTGGATAGATAATTATTACAGATATAATATTGTGCATCTTATCTTAATTTATCTTAATCAATTTAGATTAAATTAAAGCACCCTGCGTCGAACTTCTGATAGAAAAAATTACCCACGCAAAATCAAATGAAACGAAAGAAATAATTCCACAAAGCTGTAACACAGATCTTTCGACGTTACATTATATCTTACATCCAACGGCTATCCAATCATTTTCATCCATCACTGTTTCTCGATCAAAATTAAAAAAAAAAAAACGAAGCCGATTCCTAGGTAACAGGATAACGAGTTTCTTAATTTCTTCCCGTCATGCCACAATTCCCACGCGAAATTTCGAAGTGGTTTGAAATACTATATATTACACACGAGAAATACACGGATAACCGTTGATTTACACGTGTCGTTAATAACTGATACCAAGCCAGTTATATCTCGAATCCGATGCAACATGTAGAAACGAGTCGGTTGTTCCGAAGTACAAGGATTTTTTTATACGGAGAATCAAGAGGAATATATTACAAAAATGTTATTTACTTGATAATGCAATTAAATATATACGATAAAAATTAATAAGTACGAAACAAAATATTTTCAAGAAATTATCCCAATAATTTCATTTTATTGATAATAAAAAAAAAATGAAATCTCGATTGAAACATTGTAAATTCAAAACGAAAATTAAAATCGTTCAAAAATTTTCTCTTCGTTCTTTATCCGTTCAAAAAAAAAATACCTAAATGATATAATTAGAAACGTGTATTTCTTACATAACGCGTATCTCATTTCAACGTACAAAATAATTTTGCACGTGCGCGTGATAGCTTCGCACTACTACGTTTTCAATCAATCTCCAATGTACACCAATCTTCTTAAGTAACGTTACTTTATGCTTTAACTTCATCGATCAATTTCCAATTTGCATATACGCGGTCCGAATCCTCTCCTCAAATTAACCATCTCGTTTAACCATAACGTTCTAACGTTACATCGTTACTTATTTTTCCAATTAAATCCCCTCCCGATGCGCACAACTTAAAAGCTTTATCAAACGGTTATTCACGAGATAATACGACGCCACATATACCACCGCTCACTCTCCACTCTCCTCCACGTTCCTCCACCAATCGTGACGTTAACGTTACTCCTCGGTCAGGGACCAGGAAGAAGAAACTCGAAAACGCGTGCACACGCGTTTCGGTCAGTGAACACCTTTTTATGCCGTTCACACTCGATATTTAAGCTTGCGTTCCCGTTTTTCGCGGTCAACTCCCCCGATCCGATACACCACACCGTCCTACGTACACACATCTTGCATTTGTTGCCAACATGTGTGAGGCAAGAAAGAGGAGAATTTAGAACGTTGTCCGACTTCTTAATTGCTTTTTATTAGCGAGCCAGGTTGAATTAATCGTGAGCCAGGCGAACGACCGGCGGGGGAAAGAAGGAAAGAGAAAGAAAACGAGGAAAAACATCATCGGCGAGTGCAAGTTTGCCGAGTCACGCGATAGATATTCGCGTATGGTGGGTTTGATCGGATGTATATATATATATATATATATATAATATGAGCCGCATGACTTGGAAATAAAAAAGGTATGATAAATTCTATGATTTCGGTAGTTTTTGTAACGTTCCGATGTAATTAGAGGGAAGAGTGTGTGCGCGCGAGTATGAGAGCGTTTCGTGAGATTTGATATGGGTGAAGGGTGAAGCGAATATGAAAGGTAAGTGGAAAAAGGTGGTTCCATTTTGATGAGCTTCATTTTGCACTTGATTCTCGATACAATAAAATAATAACGATATAATAAAATACTTGAATTCTTGCACAGAAGTCGGTCATTTTCAGAAAGAATGGGGTTCAAAAAGAATGCCGAGAGAGATGGAGAATGTTTGTAGAAAAAATTACGTGGTTCGCTCGAGTATGGATCAAAGAAAGGGAAAAAGATGAAAGTAATATAGAGGAGAAAAAACAGAGAATTGTAAATTCTCTCTGTTCTCCGATCGTGAGAAATGGATTTCTAAATCGAGGCCGGTTTTCCATTCCGATCCATTCCGAAATTAATTAATAAGAAGCGAATCCAAGGCTCGTCGTGGGAGATGTCGATTCCAAAAGCGTGGCGATTTTCGAATGGAAATGGAACAAACGAAGGAAGGAATTCATAATTTGGTCGAGAAAGCGTTTGCCTCGAATCGAATCTCGGTTGCGCAAGGAGGAGAGGACTAGGAGCCTCATTTCCAACCTGGCGGACCGAATCGAAACGTAGAAACGAGATCAAAACTGTCTATGGTGGAACGAGCTCGAAATAGCCGAAAGGAAAGGGAAGGGAAGAAACGAAATCGAAATCGATCGCGCTTAAATTGAAGCGAAACCGAGCGCTTCGACAATCCTCCAAATTAATTCTATAGCAGAGGAGAGAAAGAGTGGCGCGACGTAAAGCGTGGAAAAGAAAGCGATAAGGATTATTAATCGCTGTTAATCCTTGTCGTGAATGCGAATGCAAACGGTAGCGCGCGTACGTAGGAAGAAGGAGGTGAAGAAAAATATGGCGGTGAAGGTTCCTCGAACAAAAGAGGAAGAAAAAGAGTTTCCCGTTGGCCGCGTTCATCATCGAGGATACACCTCGGCTGCGGTGTTTTTGAATTCCTGGAAAGCACGCAGACGTGGCACGTGATGGTGCGGTTTCGCGCTCGCCACGGAAAACTCTCTCCCTCTTTCTCTCGTTCCAGCCTGGGGCACGGGAGAGAGAGGAAGAGGGAGATAACCTCGACCGCAACGGATCGTTTTAAAACGTTCGACGATAGCACGTGGTGCGCGCGCCTAAAACGCGCGAACAACGGTTCGACAACGATCGTTTCCATCGTCGAGTTTTTTTCTTTTTTTTTCTTCTTCTTCTCGTCGGCCATTTTGAAACGGTTTTTCGGTTTTTTTTTTTTTTTTTAGGTCAAGAACGAAACGATGGTTCCACGTAGGTAACCTAGCGTGTCGAGGCAGAGGGACACCGATCGTGAAAAGATTTCTTTCTTTCCAGAGGAGCGCAGATATCTGAGAAAAGTAACCGCGGCCAACTTTTCATTAGCGGAATTCTGTTGGGGAACAGGCGCCGTTTCCGGTACCAGAAACGGTGGAGGACGGCTCTATCGGTTTCTAACGGTCGATAAGGAAGTAAAACGCGTTAATCCGAATAAATGATAGGAAATGAGCGTGGAGGCAAGGTAATGAAAAGACAGCGGGCCGGCTTTCTATTTGCATTCTATAAGACCGATGACTTCCGGTCGAGCGACGACGAGTGTCGGTGAGTGAAAACGGGAACGTACACGTTCGATTCTTTGATTTACTCGACTATTCAACGTACGCGATTACGCGATCTTTCGACTCTCGACTACGATTGGATCGATATATATATATATAACCGATAAATTTTATGATAATTAATTTCCATTTCTTTTTAATCCAAATCTCGTCAATTCTCTTCGATCGGAACTGCTGATAACAATTCGATTCATCTCGTTCCAAGATACAAAACAATTTTAATTCTAAGTTATCCTGTCTTTAAATTCGTTCATCGAATTCGTTATCGTATTAACAAAACTTCGATCGATTGCTTTTCCCCGATACACGACACGACAGGTTTCGTCGAATAATTAAACATACATGATCGAATGAGGGAGACTCGTGGGACAAATAAAAGTCCCACGAAAAGAAATCTGTGAACGCGATATTTTAGAGGCGTTCATCGGTATCGTAATTAACGTTAATGGGGAAGGTATATCGCGAATAGAAATGATAGAAGCGCAACATTTGCAACAGTTCCACAATTACCATTCAGAGTGTGTGGGGTATTAAATAAGCGGGCAATCCGTCGTCGATTATCAGATCCCAATTAAACGTTGCGGAAAAGAAGCAACGAGAGCGTGGCCTGCAACCATGGTAACAGGGTGTTGCTGTATCCCTGTGTTCATTATGTATCGTCGGTAATTGCTCCCGTGGCATCGGCATATTTACCGTTAATAGTTTATTGCAATTCTGGTGTTATCTCTGATGGTAAATCCCTGGTCGAAGAAGGGAGACGCGTCGTTCGACGTAATTCAAAAATTATGATTTCAAAAGTAATTAAAATTATAGATTATCGATATCGTTTCTCGATAGATATTGTAATATTGATATGTATGTCGTCGATAATATCGTTAAGATACGACGTATGACGATGAAAATAATGAAGTTGTGATTTTTTTTTTTTTACTATAAGAAAAAAATTATTGGAAGATTTTGTGGATTAACTATATTTCGTTGAATTTTCGAATTATCGTTAAGATATCATCGATACGAATAAAAATTTATTTTTATTGCAACTTGTTGATAACATTTTCAATAGTAATATCCTTGAGAAATTATAAATTGTAATTATTTCTATCATTTTCGATAATCATTTCGAAAATTTCTTTCGGGAGAAATTTTGTTATTTCTCGTTTTTCGAGAAACGATTTTTTTTCCCCTCCTCGAGAAATGGTAAATTTTACGCTATATCATTGTTGCAACAAATGAGAAACGAGTGTTTAGAAACGAGGAGACAAAGGAAAATAAGAGGAGGTCCAATTGTCGTTTGAAAAAAACGATACGAAAATCGATATGACTGCTTTGTTAGATTATCTTTATACAGTTTATACAGTCTACATTATTTGATATTCGGTGGTAAAGGAGATCGATGTTATAGAGATCGATAGTTTGGACTCGAATATTGTTTTATGAAATAGGATATTTCATTAAAAAATTGTACAAACTTTAATAAGTTTTAACGAAAATATTGATTTTTTTTTTCACAACTCCGTTATTGTACATCTTTCAAAAATAGTTAGATTTTTACAACACTGCAAACTTTGTATAACAATTTTGTATAACACATTTATAAGAGAAAAAGAAAAGATTTTGCTATTAAAATAAAAATTTAAGAAGTGCGTTCCAATATTTTTTTTTTATTGAAACTATTAACTGCCTAAATATACGCCTAAAAATGGTACAGAAAGGATTTTATTAAATTCATTATATTTCCAAATTTGAATGAAGTAAATCTCACCGTGTGAAAAAGGCTTTATCCAATCTGATAGCCACAGAAGAATTTAAAATGCTCGTCAACTTTGCTAAAACTGAAAGCATCGTTCGATAACGAGTCACACCTCCCTAATCCTGTGATCCATGTCAACAGATAAGCTTCCTATTTTAAACTTCTAAACAGATTATCAATCTCTTCTCTTATATATGCTATCATTTACCTAATACGTAAACCTGAATCTAAAAGATCAAAAATCAATATTCGCGTTAAAGATAACGTATCGCATTATCCTTGTCTTATTCCAAAGTATTCCAAAGCTTCCTATCTTGCTCAGGGTGGAATTTAATTAAAGAGATCGGAGATAAAAGCGTAATTTTACACCTTTACTGTTATTTACCGTGATATCAAGCGTGATTTTTTCAAGACCACATTACAACAAAATTAGCATGCGTAAACGTGACAATTATTAAGTTTAGCTCGCGATGTATACAGATAATCTTTAATCTTGAATGAAAAAATGATTTAAGATGATTAATCCTTTGTATTTATATTTAAGAAGATCACTAAAGTAACAAAAGTCCCTAGAATGTAATTATATTATACATACATTTACTAATATAAAATGTAAGATGACGAACATACGAGTGCAAAGGTATAAAGATTCATCGTAATAAATTTGTCTTGCATCTGTCACAATATTCAGTATTCGTTATTTCTTCATTCGTCTAATCGGATTAATATACATCGCGAGACCCGTCTATCGAAAGGATAAAAGAGTAGGCGCAAATAAAATCCTCTTACGAAATTCGTAGCAAATAGAAAACAGGCGCGCTGTTAATGTAATTGCGATATAATTGTCCGGATTAATGTTTTCAACGTGCATACATAAGAAGGAGAGACCACCCCTCGCTGTAACTCGAGAGCGATCAGGAAGCGCAAAGTTGACATCGATTACGAGAAACATTTTCTTTCCGCGGTGTGCAGCACCGATCGAGAATGACACGTGGCCGACAGGTATCGCGTGACACCCTCGCCTACCCGTTTCACTTATAATTATACTAGACGACAATGGCCTGCCTATAATGACAATGCCGCGGCGCTCGCCTCTGTGTCCGATTTCCCTAAGCAATATGTTCTTCGAGCCTCTTAGTATACCTGGCAATAATAAGTCTTACCATAATGGATATATGGTAAAATTATAAGTTTACCGTATTTGTAAAACGATCTAAAAATTTTTCACTATTGGTCTATATATATATATATATATGTAAAATTTAGTTCAAGAATCTCGTTTGGAAACATTGGATTGATCTTAAGTGTAATATTGAAGTAAAGAAAAAAAATTACAGAAATTACAGATGTAATAACTTATTGGATATTTTAAATTTATTTGATCCAAAAATTGATCGTATTAACTTTTTTTTTTTTTTTTTTTCTATTTTAAGTCAAGTCCCAAGGAGAATATTTTTTTCAGAAAAATAGTTAAAAATTACCCTCGAACATATATACATTCTACGATTGTAATTCCAATAGTTCAACAATTGGTGATTTGCTGTTTTGAAAAATGAAAAGTATAAATTGAACTCGAGTACCAATTCCGTTCTGAACTTAATTAGACGCGATAAATAGACGTTAACATGGCGACTCAGTCTCGTCTGAGAGGCGACACGAAGAAAAGGGAGGACGAGACGACGTTCCAGACGACGAAATTCTCTGCAACTTTTTTTCTTTCCTCTGTAGCTCTATTGTCCAAAAGAAGAAGCAAAGTCGACATCGTTCGCAATTATTGAAGAACGACGCGACGCGGACTCTCCCCTGTCCAAGGGACAATGAGTTGGGAAAAAAAAAAAAGAAGAAAAGAAGAAAAAACGTAGCTCCTCTTCGTTTAATTACACCGTAAGGCGACAAAACGACGAGCCAACAAAAATGACTTTTTAAGCGAACTCGAAAGTGTTAAGGACTGCCTACTACCTTCGAGACATCCGATTACGATAATGCCACATGATTACCATCTCCGTTACACGCGAAACATTGTGCAACCATGATTCTTACACCTGGCCGTGCTAACACGTACGTACTGAATTCCTCGTGCAACGGTTCCAACCACGTTCCAAGAAAAGAACGATCATCCTTTTCAACGATTCACAATCGGAAGAAGAATTACGGAATTGTTAAGAGAATTAACAATTGGATCGATTCAAAAAGAAGAAAATTAATCTTTGCAGTGATGATTTTCTTTACATCAAACGTTTAATTATCAATTCTAGTGAAGAACAGGAGAAATATTTCTATCGTGATTCTTTTGTTGAAAAAAAAGTTCTCATAAAATATTATAATAACCTTGTATCTTTAATTCCAATTGTAATTCTTTTTTCAACAACGTTTCAACGATTCGAACGGAATTGAAATTTGTTCTCGTGTTTCATCACGAGTAATTGTATAAGTATACATAGAAGCAAATTGTTGATGAAGAATATGTCTCGATTAATCGACAAGTTAATGGAGTAAACGCAGTTATTGGATAAGGTATCCCTTAGAAAGTTGAGGATCCATTAGAAATCGTTATTAGCTTCACCTCTCATGGATGCTCTCATGGTTCGGCGAAGAAAAGTGTAATTCGAGGAAAGATGGTAAAATCTATGGCAAATGAGTTAATAAATTTATAAGGAATTTATATGGAAGGAAGGAATGCAATTCTAATAAGCGGGATGGAAAAATCTGCAGCAAAAGTAGAATTTATGACAGTCGTAAAAAAGACAATTTTCACGTTTCATACTTTCTTCTATTGGAATGAAATGTGCATGTTATGAAGTCTTAATTGAAAATCGAAGAAAATTCTGTACAAGCTTACAATTCCTTTTTTTTTTCTTTTTTTTTAAGAAAAAAAAAGTATTGTTAATCGTCAAAGAAAATTTTTGAAATCATTGAAAATCCTAAGTTAAGAAAATTCATTAATTTGATTGGTTGAATCTAAGAAATTTGTTTTTACTTCTAATTAATTAATTTCCAAACAAATCGATTCTTTAAACACGAATGAAGAGAATCTTAAAAATCGAGTGACAGGAAGACGCTTCGTGTCACGGGTTGTGTGTCATTCCGCTCGATTAAACTCGAGGAAGACAGTTTCGATGAGACGCATCCAGGTAACTCGATGTACCCACGGCCAATTACGACGTTTCCCGTCATTACGAGCCAGGTAAGCGAAACCGATTTTCATGCGACTTCCGCACAACGAATTCGCTCCTCTAACGAACAGTCTGAAAAATGTGCGTTGCACGCATAATTTACCGTAGTCGAACGTAGTGGAATGTGGTGCACGTTTTGCGGCGTTTAGTTTAATTAATCAATAAAAAACTTAGAATAGTAAACATATTCAAACATTTCCTTCTAAAACAAGTTTTAGAAATTTAGAATGAAAGAATATTTGTTTGAATTTTTCTGAATTTTAGTATATTATGTCTTCTTTTTGAAAAAGCACGACGAAAGAATATCTCTAAAAAATTATATTCTGAATTATGGGTTAACTGAATTAGAAACATTTTTTTATACATCGAAAAGATGAAAAGAAATCAAAGTTACAGATTCTGTTTTCCATCAAAGATATCCTACACGTATATATTTTGTATGACGGAAATAGAAAGAATCGATTGACTAAAGTTAAATAAAATCGATAGTTTGAAGGAACTAATAATTTTAAAGATTAAAATATGATATAATAAAATGCGTAAAGATTGGCCATGAGTGGCTACATATTGCATAAATTCCATAACCGATTATTACAATGATAATAATCACGAGATAGTGTACCGAGATATAAATTACTTAAAATTATGGTGTATCGTTTGAAAGAATAAAAAAAAAAAAAAAAAAAAGAATAATAAGAAAAAAAGTAAGTTTCATAATGAGAACAATTTTCCTTTTTTTTTTTCTTAATTCTTAAATCGTTCCAGAATTTTTTTTTTTCTAAGAAAACTATTATACTCTTAACTTCGTGCACGCGTGTTTTCTTTCATCTAATTGGAATATAAATTTAATCGAACGACCAATTTTCAATTTGCGACAATATTACCCGTGTAAAATTATACAGTAACTCGATTGACCGAAATTAAAAATTAAACACTTGCTTGCTAATTTTTTTTCTTCAAATTTCTTTAAATTATTGTTCCTATAATTAACGAAGAATTTATAAAAATACAATTTTATTGAAATAATTATTCAATTCGAATTTGTTATTTAATATAAAGCCACCTTTACATGTTTACAAATCTAAATTTCTAAATTTATATTTTTTATATATATATAAAAAACTTTATCCTTTCTTATTTTCATTTGTTGAAAATAATTTATTTCGTATTCGATTTATTAAACCCTTCTTCGAATCATTGTAGCAAACCGTAAAATCATACCCAAGTTACGAAATCTCTCTCTGACCAGAAAACGAGCGTTCATCGATCTTCGTTTCATCATCGTGTCATCGTGATCGAGGATCGAATCGATGCCCAAGAGGAAATCGATCGCGTTAGACAGGATCCTCTTACATAATCGATTCTTTTGCCGCTCAAAGACAAAGAGATCTTTTCTCCTTTTGTTCCTCGTCACGCCGCTCCTCTCGATTCTCTTCACTTTCCAACACTTCGTATTATCGAAGGAAAAAAGTTTAATGAAAGAGGAAGGGATAAAGAAAAAATATATACACAGAGAAAAGAAGAAGATTGAGAGAGAGAGAGAGAGAGAGATCAGAAAGTAACCACCGAGGCGAAGAACGTCCGTTTTCATCGAAGATCGAATGGAAAAAGGGAGGGAAAAATTGGAATAACCGTTTCATAAAATCGCACGAAACGGTAATTATATCCGATCGAGCGGAACGCACATTCTGACGATGTATAGGAGCCGAGGAGAAAAATTCGATTTCACAGACAATCTGTGAGCACACGATCGTGAAATTTCTATGAGCTTCGAATCACTGGGATTATCACTGGGAGAAAACATGGAAAGATCTTCTAAGATTTCACGATTGCTTGCCTCACCTTAACCGATTTCCTATCGTTATTACGAAGGAACGGGCTTCCTATTTCTGGATCCGGGGGCTGGATGGAACGATGGATAATCGCGGATCGAGAAGCGTGGTGTTAAATACATTTACGACGAAAGAAAGAAGAAAGAGAAAGGGATCGATCGATCTGCCTTCTTCCTTGCGGATGGAAACGGGACACGTGATCGAGAACGAGAGAGGAAGAAGGTTGTTCCTCTTGGAAACAACTTCCGGATACGCGAAATGAGCATGTAATGTAATTAATTGCGCTCGTGTTGTTCGTTCGATGATGTTGGTCGAGGATCTCGTGCGTTAAGTTTTGTATTTTTCATTAGCTCTTTCGAAACGATATAAAAATATACGAAAAGCTTGACGAAATTTTAAATTAAGCGACGAAAGAATGAAAAAAATTTGTAAAATTTCGCTAATATCGATTCCTTCGTTGATTCAATTAACAAAATAATAATAATAATAATAATAATAATAATATCTGTCTGTATATGCACAACGTATAAAGAAAATGCAACCGTAAAAGGTTGCCTTACACACAACACGTAAAAAAAAATACACGAAACCGCTTCTTGCGGTTCCTCGAATTGAGAGAGCAGTAACGGTGAAGAAAAAAGAAAAAGAAAAAAAAAAAAAAGAAGAAGCCAGGAATTAAAGATGTGCCCGGGCACGGGAATTAAATCAGGAACCATGACGAATCGTCGCGGAGACGGTCGTTAAAACGAGGATTTTACGATCGTCCAGGATTGTAAATCGTGAGAAACGCAGAATACGAGAACACGTTCGGGTCTCGACTCAACTCTGGAGTAAATCACGGATATCGTTTGCGGTGGGTATCTCGATTTTTGCGGCGAGGGTTAACGCGATACCGAGCCGAGGGGAAGGGACGAGGGGAGGGGATTAACCACAGCGTAATAAGGACCGTGCTTTACATCGTTCTGTTCCGTGATATTGGTTATTAATCCGTCCTCCGAGCGGAAGTGAGCAGTGCCCCCTTGCCCCCCTTCAGAAAACACGATTCGATGGGGTGGCCTCCCTTCGCGGAGGGTCTCTCTCTCGAAACCTTACCTTACCCTCTTCTTGTAGAAAAGTCACCAAATGGTTATCAAAGGAAGGACCACTTGCGATGAGGAAACTTGTTCCTCTTGTGTATAAGGAGGGGAGAGGGACGAAAGTTAGGGTGGAGAATGCATGCTCGTGGACGTGGGGAGAGATTGAGCATCCTCGATGAGAGCCCGCCTCGAGGAATGATTAGCAATGGAGATCGCTCTATTCGAATTATTTCGAATCTCTGCTACAACACCACTCGTGCTCGTGTACCCTTCTACGTGGTGAGAAATTTTCACTTGTCTGATCCCGTTAGGACAAGGTGGTAGGAAGACCTTGTCCCTTCGGGCAAGCGGAGGGTGGAGTACAACAGGGGTTGCACGTTCGTAGAAAAGTGTGAAGCGTCTTCTGTTTGATTAGATTTGCCTCGAGGCAGGTATAAAGTGGCGGATGGAAAAATTTTTTTGGAACGACGATACGTGTACTTTTCTATTGCATAGTATCTCGATTACCTTTTCTATCTTACTAAAATCTAAATACTGAATGTTCACAACGCTTTCTTTCAATTCAACTGAATAATGGCCACAAATTAAAAATTTCTTCTTGTAAGGAGAATTGTCAAGTTACGTCCATTCGACAATCGAATTTACCTCGTAAGTCGTACAGTGTTGTTGTTCTTTAAACCACGCATATCATCATCATCATCCATCATCGTAACGGTTACAACCCACAAATTTACGAAACAATTTGTCGACAATGTCGAGATTTTCCCAAGAGAAGAATAAGCAGGTATCGAGGGCATAGAATCAGGTTCAGGGTAGCCTCTTATTCACTAAACAATGCGATACGATGAAATCTTAATAAAGAGCGGAAGGGGCGAGCACGAAGTCGGGCTCTTAATTAACGCTCGTAACGCACCGAGACCCTTTTCGTTCCGCGTCCGCATCAACGTGTACACTACGTACATCACGTAAACGTGACCGAGCTTTATTAATCGACTAAATCGCGAGATTTATCATTTACTACCGAGTACGTCGTTTAGTTTGAGCGACAGGCTAAGATAAATACTTCGTTAACGCGTGGATAAAATCCCCGGTGATTTATTGGTTAGATGTTATTATTTTATCTTCGTGGAGGGAAATTGACAGGGATTCGAAAGTGTATCTATGTGTACAGACAGTCGCAAAAGTATTCGTACGTACGTTTATCTTATAAGGAAATTTTAATTTAAGTTTTAATTTCAACGATTTTATCGTATTTAACGTACAGATTTAACAAGATTTTCTTTTATTTCATATTCGTTTAAATTTAAACAAACATTTCGAATATTCCAAGTTTTATTTCGTATCGCATTACGAAATTGAACCTTCGATTTTCGAAAACTATTTATACTGTATATAAAAATACTCCTGTGAATATAAAGAAGGGGGGGAAAAAAAAAAAGCTATTCCACGTAATAGCTTCTCTGATAATTTTAGAACATACTTTTAGGATCTACTTTCGAGACTAATATTATCCCAAAGGGAGCGGTAAGAGTGACGCGGTTAAAATTAACCTACCTAAGACGAAAATGTAACTTACTCCTCGAAGATATTGTAATAAACTCGTGCGCGTGACTTGCCCCCTCCGCCCATGTTCTTAAAACTCTCCTTTTTTGGAAAAATCATCCAAACAAACGCATACGTATCGTCGTACTTGCAAGATGGAAGGATCACGAGCTCAAAAATATCTTTGAACGATCCTATTGAATTTATATGCTGTATTTATATGCTGTGATTGGAAAGGAAGCCAAAGTTCGACAAACGGAAGAGATGGATGAATCACGAATGAAATCACGATGAAAAGATCAATGCTAGTTTGCACCATCAGCTAATATAGACAAATCGAGGGCATTTATATTGTATACGTGTTAATATAACTGTTCCTTGTCAATGGATTTTTTCCCCAAGATCCGCCCGTAATATCGTGATAAATCGTCCAACACGAAACAAACACGTGATAACATTTGTAAGTAGAGACAAGTCTATATGTTGCTCGAAACATATTATAATTGCAGCCTCGATAAATACGGCGTCTTATCAGGAAGAAAGTGGAACGAAACGAGTGCAGAGGGGCGGTTCGTGGCCGGTTTCGTTCCGTTTGTTTCTATCGATTCGATGAAATTGATGAGGAAAATCATTCTGATCTCTACCTGTTTAATTGCGGATAGACGCTGATATTTTTTTCGATTTAGATACCGAAATGGTCGTAAATTAAGTGAGAAATTTTGATACGTGTTGGATTATTTTGTAGACGAATTCATAAATCTTTGTATCGAACGATAATACCGTGAAGATAACTTTGATATATAAACAAATATAGATATATAAATAAGATATGCAAAATATCTTAATTGGTCAGAAATAATGTAAATGAACACCGATCGCAAGCGAATAGAAAATATATACAATATTAGTCACTATGAATTAAGATTCTTAATTATCTTCTTATTAATCTCCATTCTTATTTATTTTCTCTACTAGTTACGAAAACAATCCAAAATTCAAGAAATGCATAAATTATATTTATATCCTCCACTGATTAAATTACACAATTCATAATTATACCAATTTCTACCAGCTGCAAGTTTCCTTCCCCAAAAAAGCTACCCTTTCTCCCACGATATCGTGCAATCCCTTTTTTTGCAACCCTATTTTAATTTCGAACACCTTATCAGAACGTCCAATCGTCCAAAATCTCGATAACATTTCGCGTCGAGTTTATCTCGCCATATGCACATTGGTAACGGTAACCAATCGACATTCTCGATCGCAAAACCTATTCCAACCGATTGTCCAACTGCAACGAGGGAATGTTGCGTGAGGATTTTTGCGTGGCGTGCACTCACGCACACGGCTCGATATCAATTTGACATCGGATCGAACGACCACCTTTCACGTCCTCGAAAACGTTCCTACTATAATCGCAAGCGGTGCGTTTTGTGTGTACAGCGGTGGTGCGCGTTGTCTGGTTTGCCAAACACCGGGGGATACGTAATAATTTATTATAATTATTCGTAGCGGCCGAATAAGGCCGCTTATCGATTATTCAGCCGCACGTGAAAGGAGAAAAAGCACGGGTTGAATGCGTTAGGCGGACTGCGGGGGCGTGTACATTATACGCCGAAGGATGGACGAAAGGAAATTTTAAGGGAAGTAAATGCGTGAACGCGGTGGGTTGAATTGATCGAAAATACGATATTTTGTGTTTGGAGTATGTTGATGGGATTTCGAGCTGTTTCTTGATTTATTTATTCGTTAAGAATAGATAAAATATGATAGAAATAATATATAAAAAAAACTCTTATTATTATTTATTGAATTATTGATGGGAAAGAGAGAGAGAGAGAGAGAGGAGGGGAGAGAGAGAGAGAGAGAGAGAGAGAGAGAGAGAGTGTC